TAGTACTAGATTTTTGAATTAATGAAATTTATCATCTTAAAAATGGTTACACTCTAAATACTCACGTTCTAGTATAATTAAATACGCAAATGATTACTTGATTTTTGAATCGATAGATTTCTGGCTTTAAAAATAGCCACGACTCAAATACTCACAGTCTAATTATATATACATTATAACTTAGAATTATTCTTTTTAAAATTAACCAAATTTTCACTTCAAAAATGGTTATAACTCACAGTCTAATTATTTATAAATTGTAATTTAGTATTTATTGTTTATTTTTAAAATTTCTGATTTTAAATTTAATATGGCTCTAAATAAAGTACTCACATTCTAATATGATGTGTTATTTGTGATTTAAAGTTTTAATTTTTGGATTAACAAGATATCTAATTTTAAATATAAATACTCACTTTCTAATTTTCTAATTACATGTGAATTGTAATTTATAAATATTTATTCTTTAATTAAAGAGATTTTTGTTTTAAAAGTGGTCATGTTTCTAGATACTTACAATCTAATTAATCATATGAATTTTAATGTAGTTATATTATTCAATTTTCAAATTAACAAAATTTCTAATTTTAAAAATGGATATGACCTTAAATACCCACCCACTAATGACATGCGAATTGTAATTTAGAGTCATTTGTTTCTAGAATTTCTGATTCTAAAAATAATTAGAACTTAAACACTCACCGACTAATATACATATGTAATTGTAATTTAAACTTCTTATTTATTTTTTTAATTAACGGCTGATGATTTCAAAAATAGTTGAAATTAAATACTCGCTTGCTAGTATTTGTATGCGAATCGTAACATAAATTTTTATTTGTTTTTAAATTAACGAGATATTTGATATTAAATTATTTAAGAATATAAATACTTACGTTCTAATATTATATGTCAATTGCATTTTTAAATTATGTTATCTGTTCTTTAAATTAACAAAATTTCAGATTTTAAAAATGGTCATAACTCTGAAAACCTACAGACTAGTATATAAACGTGAATTATAATTTTATTGCTTTGAATTAACGAGATTTCTGTTTGTCGATTCTAGGTACTCACGTTCTAGTATGCATAATGAATTGTAATTTAGAATGTATTATTTCTGATTTTAAATTTATGATTCCAAATGCTTACTCGCTAATAATAGAGTTATGTTATTTGAGTTTAAATTGGCTAGATTTCTGATTTAATAACTTTAAATATACCGGTACTCACAAACTAATAATATATAAATTATAATTTTGTGGTGAGTATTTGAATTGACGATATTTTTAATCATAACAATTCTAAATGCTTACTTTCTAAGTATATGTGAATTATAATTTAAAATTATATTATTTGAGCCAACAAGATTTGTGATTTAAAAGCAGTTATAACTCAAATACTTACTCTCTGATATGTGAATTGTATTTAGAGTTGTTATTTATTAATTAACGAAATTTCTTAAAATGGCTATGATCCAAATACGCACTTCCTGATAATGAGTGAATTATATAGAATTGTTTATTTGTTTATTTATTTCTGAACTTATGAAAAAAATGAATATAACTCTAATACTCCAAATACTTACTCACTAATATTTAATTATGATTTAGTCTTTTTTTTTTTTTGAGTTATCGAAATTTCTTTTAAAATGGTTGTAACTCACCGACTATTATACGAATGCAAATTGTAATTGAATCTTTAAGCTTGCGCAGTTTCTGATTTTAAAAATGCCTTTAACTCTTAAAACTCACCGACTAATAATATGTAAATTAAAATTTAGAATATAGTTTGTGACTTTGAATTTAAAATCGTTGTAACAAATACTCACGAACTTATAGGATGTAATATATGTGAGTATACACATTAGAATGCTCAAAAAAATTTTAAAATCCTTTTGAGATATTACACTTTATACTTACACTTCATTCACTAGTTCTCGAGCATTTGTTGCCCATTCACCATTCGATTTAATTCCTAATAATTCATCTATGTCTGTGAGAGATTCTTCATATTTTTTCAACATATAGTAAGTTTCCCCTCGATATCTTAATGCAATTGCATTATTTGGTTCAATTTCTAGCAATTTATTTAGATTATCAAGTGCTTCTTCATATTTGCCTATAATAAAATAAGCTTTCCCTTGATAGATTAATTCATGTATATCATTTGTTGTTAATTGTGTTGGTTTAGTATCAAATAGATTGAGAGCTATAAACTTATTTTTTTCCCATAATTGCCTAATATTATCATCATTATTCATCGCTATTCATAAAAGAAATAATATTACTAGGCGATTCTAATATACTAAGAAATCATTTATTTAGTGCTAAATGAATTTACCTAAATAATCAAACTTTTTATGACCAAAATTTACTTCTATAGATCCACTTTGTGATATTCCAACACAAGGATAAAGAACATCTTTTAGTTCGTTAGGTAAATAGCATGCAATTCCTTGAAAATATATTATAAATATAAATTTCGAAAATTATTAAATATTAAATTTTTAAAGTTATAAATACCTAGGTTTATTCCATTTTTGGTATAAAATATAATCTTATTCCTAAAATTTAGATAACAACCAATAGTATCTCCGGCAGTGTATGATGGACCATATTCCTCGCCACATCCAGAATAAAAAGAAAATCCATCATCGCTATGATAGCCCCATGATTTATTTTCTTGTCCTAAGCATATATAATAAGCATTAATCTCATAGCTATTACAATGTAAAAATAAAGATTTAACGTTACCGGGCATGAATATGATATTTGGATCTCCTGGATTTGGAATTAGATTAATTGACTCTGCACAAAATCCGACACCAATAATTCTTTTAAAAAATAAAGTCAGAAATTATAAACCAAATAATGCATTTCCAATAGCAATGATTCAAATGATTAACTATTACCCATTTTCTCCTTTATTTACGATTTCGACTTCAAAATAAAAAAGACCACACTGTGGAGGAATCGAATTATTCGACCGAACTATGGCGACAACCTCAAAATCATCTGGCCCTTTTTATTTGAAAAAACTTATAATTAATTATGTGGCCTAAAGATAACCTAGATAATTCTCTAGTCTAATATGTTTTTTTATACAATTTCTCATTGATTCAAATAGTTAACTATGTAGCTAAAGTCATTGGAATTCCTATTTATACTTAATGATTAATCTTACCAATATATTCCACCCTAAGCTTATTTGAATCGGCACTAAAAAATGTTGACTTATCATCTATATCCCACGCAGTTGGTAATTCCAATTCTTCCATTACGTATAATAATATCTACGTATTAAAATTTTTTTTTACTTCAATGGAAAATTAGCGTAACCATTTTAGATAATGAATAAATGAAATTATGGCTAGGTCAGATATTTTAAAATACAAGATGACGTAACGGTAACAAAAGTTATGCAGTATAACATAGTACCATACTTGGTTTGGCAATGGGGGTGTATATACAGAAGGTAGTCTGTGCGTTTTGGGGTTGATTTATATCCCCGAAAATATATACTATATAACGAATGATATGCTATATATGGGTCTCGTGAAAAGAGGTACTACATAAGCAATTTATCTTGTTTATATGCCGCGTTCAAAAAAAAAAATTTTTTTCATAGAATTCATTGTCATTGCAATCGAAATAGTTAATGTTTAAAACTAATGTCCGAAATTTTAAGTTTAAATACTGTTCTCATGAGAACATTCTATTAGTTCTAAGTAAGTGTTAAATTATTAGCTTGTAACTCTTAAAAAAAGAATATAAAATCTAAAGTATATAACTCAAATTCTTTCAACCGTAATGATAGCTTTAAATTTTGAGATTCTACAATAATTTGCAAATATAAGGGGACATAAATATTATTTTATTGAATAGTTATTGAGTGCAAAGCCTTTTGATAGAGGTCAGTAAAAATTTAGTGAGTAATAGTTTACGCTCTGAGAAACCATAGCTGTTCGAAACATATCTATTGAAGGTTTATCCGAACCACGTATGTACGTAACAAACGGATCCGCCTTCACCGACAGTTCATTTGGTCAACATCACGCCAAGTGACAATATACTAAAATATATACCTGCAACTAATCAAACGTTAACCCTATGTGATATCGGCTAAATGATCTTTTCGGTGAAATGACTGCCCATGAGGTAAGTAGTACCGGTAACTAATAGTGATAGATTTGCATAACAGTACATGACAAAAATGAGATACCCTATACGTATTATGTATAGGAATATTATCGGCCCGACCAGGATTGTACCTACGTACGTACGTACGCACGTACTTGTTTTCATAGAAATCAAAAAATTACATTCAATAATTATAAGAAGGACTAATAATTCACTTTTCGAAAATAGTTATATTGATCTGTATGCGTTAAAGCTCGGAAAATTCAATTTCGGATAAATCTTACTATTCCTGAATAAATTCTGAAGCGTTTGATCCTATGATGGTATGTGGTTGCTTTTTCTATAAACTACCGCTACTGTTACATAATAAGTTTATTGATTGAATGATACGTAAGCACAAAAAAATCAATATCCAAACAATGTTATTTTCATTATTCTATTTGGCGATATTCTTTAAAAATATACGTATATATATAGCGTACGTACACACAGAAAGTTGATTTTACAGTAGGACAAACGCATTTGTCAGGCGCAAAAATAGCGCAGAAGTTTCATGACATAAAGATATAAGCCCAATTTCTATTTGTGCCACTATAAAATTACTAATAAGGATTTTTTGTTACGTGGCAAAAAATTGTGTTAGGGAATTGACATTTTCATTACCCATTTTAGAACTCCTTCTGACCTATCACAATGATAAAAGCTTATTGTGTGGCTTGAAAATCAAAATACGCCCACATGAATTTGTATCACTAATTTTACGTATGTACGTAAGAAAAAAAAAAAAATATCGATACCGAAATTTAAATCAAGAAATATTGAATCTCCGTCATCTTAATATCGGAAGTTTCAAATACGATGGCAGCAAGAACAGGGCGTGAAAAACAAGTCTATAAAGGTTCAATACGTCAAGTTAGTTTTAACAATTATTTCAACTGTTTAAAAGAAATAGAGAAACCAGTTCTTTTTTTGCATATATTTATCGTAATAAGTGTAGTTATTTACAACATGCTTTTTTTCTTACTTTTTAGGTGGCAGGATGTGTACCAATTAATAAGGCGACTGGAGAAATCTTATTAATAACATCCACAAGCGGAGATGGATGGGTACTGGTAAATAGACAGTCTTGCAATATGCGTAATGAATTATGTATAATTTATATGTAGTATTACCAACTCGAATATATTAAAGCCTAAAGGTGGTTGGGAAGACGATGAGACGCAACAAGAAGCAGCAGCTAGGGAAACATATGAAGAAGGTTCGTTGTTTATTATATATATATTTTAAAAAAAGAAATGTTGTTACTAAAGAAACTTATTACTTTAATGATTTTTAATAGCTGGTGCGCGCGGAAAATTATCATTTATTGGAATATGGGATCCTAAAAAAACTGGTATATCCCATGCTACATTTATTTTTTTTGAGATGGAAGTGGATAAATTAGAAGACAAATGGCCGGAAATGGATGTGCGAGATAGACAGTGGGTGAGTTTATGTTTTAAAAATATCTCACTATTTTGTTTTTTACTGTTATTATTATTAATTAATGATATATTTATAAAAATTGTAACCGTTTTAGTTTTCATATGATGATGCAATAAAAATTTTAAAAAAACCTTTCATGCGGCAGGTAGTAGAACATTGCTCGTTGGCTCCCTCAAATAATTAAATTTTTGCATGCTACGTGCTTAACGCAAATATTATTTTTTTAGAATATCGTTTTTTTTTTATATAAATATATAAATCAAATTTTTATTTATACTATATAGTAGTATATTTACAAAAAACAGCGCTTTAAAATTTATGATGCGCATGTTAAATTAAAATGAAACTTACAGTTTTGGAAGTATAATTAGTTTTTATAAATGAACCTTTTATAAGTGCATTTTTTTTTTCATAATGCAAGTCGCTTGATAATATATTGTACTTTAGACTATACCTTTTCCAATCTTGTCTTAGAATCTCCATAAGCGTGCAACTTTAATAAGTGTGGAAAATGCACTTATGGAGGTTCAAAGTACAGTCAACTCTCTTTAAACCGAACCTGGATAAACCGAACACTTTGTAAAAACCGAACATATAGCTTTAGAACATTTGTGAAATTTATTATTAAGTTCGATTAGCAACATAATAACTCTTTGTAAACTGAGCTTTTAAATATTTTTACATATAAGAACCTGCTGTTCGGTTTAAAGAGAGTTGACTGTATAAACAATTGCCTTGGATTTTCTTTCATCCTTGGAAATCATATAATAAACGTACGTAATTGTTATCACTTTTTTATATTACTTAATGGGTAGGCTAAACAAAGTCTATTAGTTTCAAGTAGATATTATTTTTTTTACTATTTAATGCTATCGCTATAACTTGAATATAATAAAAAGAATCAACGTTTTACAAAGCAGTATATTTATAAAAATAGAAAGCAATAAACTGTAATTATTCTAAAAAATTTGTTGATAGCCCAGCTTTAAAACTTGCAAAAAAATCAAATGCAATACACAAAAAGTCAAAAGCCAACTCCAAAAATCTTTAACAATGAATAAGTTTCCAGCACTTTCGAAACTTGTAAGTTCTTGTACTTGATTGTATACCAACATATTTGGACTTAATGTTCCATCTAATCCACTAATTACATTTTTTGTTGCAAGTTTTTCTAACAAATTGAGGATAGATATTGGTCGTGCGTTCGAAGATTTGATGGACAATAATGACATTTGTTGTGGCTTCAATTCAGATAGGATTAATGAAACTACACCTGATGAAAAAATATAATTAATGAAAATAAAACGCAATAAAAGGATTGTAATAAAAAAGAAGGATACCAGCAACATAAGGACAAGCAAATGAAGTTCCTGATTTAATTGAAGAACCGTTTAATGGAGAAGGATAAGAAGAGAGGATTCCTTGACCTGGAGCAAATAAATTCACACATTCACCATAATTCGAAAAACGCGAAATATAATCTGTTGGAGTGGTTGATCCAACAGTTATTGCTGTTCGAGCACTCGCTGGTGATACATTGCATGCATCGATACCTTTTCCTTCGTATCCATTTCCCGCTGCTGCCTGTAAAATAAAACGGATATATCGATATATGAATCAATATACTACAAAAAAAAACAAATATAAATATGAATTTATTTCATGATTATAATATAAAACCTTACCGTTATGATTATTCCATGCTTGACCAATTCACTGACAGCGAGATTCACTGCTCTATTATATTCAGATCCTAAGGACAAGCTAGAAAAAAAAACAAATTCAAAATCAATATATCATTCATTAATCTGCTCATTAATCACTGAATATGTAATTATTATGCAATAATTCTTATATTTATACTTTGCGACTGTTTTTGCTTTGCCACCTTTAGCCATATGACTTTGAATTACATATTGTAGTCCATAAAGAACACTTTGAACCGAGCCAGTTCCTTCATCGTCAAGCGACTATTAATTATGGAATAAAGTTGAAAAGAAAAGTATTTTAAAAAAATATAATAGTAAGATCAATACATTTAACATACTTTAACAGCGATAAGATTGACTCGTTTTGCCACACCATAAGTTTTACTTCCAATTATGCCTGTATTTTAAAAAAAAAAGATTACGTAAGTCTTTTTTTTTAAAAAAAGAATGTTATAAATTACAAACCAGCGACAAAAGTGCCATGTCCATTTTCATCCTTATCCGTGTTTTGTTTAGTAGTAGTAATGCCCCAACTTGCGCGACCTTCGAATTCTGGATGATCGATATCGATCCCTCTAATAATTATATATGTAATAGTAGCGATAAAGATTAATTTCATCAATAGAGATTGAGAGATTGAATTTCACAAGGTTTATGTAGTAATAATATAATACTGTAGAAATAGTAACTCACGTATCAATAACATAGACATCTACACCATAACCAGCGGATTCAGGATACGAATAAGTTTTCGACAACGTGGGTGTACGTTGATCAATTCTATCTAATCCCTAACAAATTTTTTTTTTTACACATAAACGATAATTTATTTTCAAATACAAAATTTTTTTGAAATCAAATTATTTTTTAAACTTACCCAACTTTGAACAGAGTTTTGTACACAAATATTATTTTTCTTATTTTCAAATATTCCATGATTAAACTTTTGAAAATTCGAATTTTCAGTTACATAATCATCAGATATTACATTATCTAAAGCTCTAACAATTCCATTTTCAGCAATAATCCAATTTTTTTTATTATTCAAAGAATTCTCATCACTTTCATTATAATCTTTAAAAGTTTCAATAAATTCATTATCAAATTCACCCGGTAAAAAGTGTAAATTTTCACTAAAAGTAATTAATTCACCAACATTTGAATATTGTGATGAAAGATTTTTTAGTAACTCTTGTGATGGTGGTGATCGAAAGATTAAAAAATATTGTTGTTGATTATCATTTTGAGTTGAATTATTATTATTTTGTGAAAATGCAAATGTTGTTGTTATCGATACATGAGACGCAACGAATAGAATTAGTGAAAAGAATTTCATATCTTGAGAAAACATGCCTAATTTTAAGTGAATCGTGCTTAAAGTGTAATTTTTAAACAATTCGTTCAATTTATCCTATTTTGTGATGTCAAGGTGAATGACGCACATTTACGATATTTACGTTATTTACATACAAATGAAGTCATTTCGAATATTCGAAAATACTGAGTACCGGTAATTGTAATTGCGTTTATTTTTAAAAAATTAGATTTTTACACAGCGTTATAAAATGTAAGGCATTTATTTATTTGATTTTATTTGTTCGTCATATACAAAGGAACTCTCTTTGGTTTGAAATTTTATGGAAATGATATGATTCAAGTTCAATATAAATGACGTAATTTATGTGATCAAGTCAATCGTTATCGTTCTATGACACTGCAGAGGGATTTAAGGATTCGATGACTAGAAAATAGTATCTTTGACTTCTTTATTGCATGTATTGAATTATTGCCTTGTACCTATTAGAAGCTAACGGATCTGAAATAATTAAGTTATAAAAGCGCAATATGATATGTAAACAAGCAATTTAACATTAGGTTAGATAGTAAAATGATCACAATGATTATTATTATTATTTTTTAATATTATAGAAACGTAAATTCAAGAATAGATTTGTTATTAAGTGAAAACAATCAAGTTATATTAAAAAAGAACAACGAAACAATTACGTATATTAAATTTAAAATTTAAACTGAGCTTTAGTGTTGTTGAAGTATTATTAGAAGTACAATTGTGATTAGGAGGTAAGCGCTGTGAAATAAAATGACTATTATCGTATTTACAGATTTACACTAACAGCTAAGTGATAAAATAAATGATGCCATAATTTGTCTGTCAATTCCAATTTTTGCAAACTAATAACTCAACAAATTTTATTTTTTTTTCGTATTATTTATAAGAATACCAGTTAAGATTTCAATTTTATTTAAAACAACGATGCTTTTTGTGTATTTGTGATCCCATTCATTTTTATACTAGAAGATACTTTACTTTTTATTATTTGTTAGATTATATCCGCATTTATTTTAATAAAACTCGTAAAGATTGAATACCAAACACTCATTTTCATTGTATGGAATATGAAAGCGGCAACGATGAAACAAAAAAAAACAAAAAAATTCATAGCTATATTTATAATATTCGAACAAAAAAATACAATAAAAAATAAAACTTTGATATTTAAGTAGAAAAAATTTCTTCATTAAGTATGCATCAGATAATTGTAACTTGATTTAATAATTATTATAAAATATAACTGGAAATAATAATTATTTCTATTTAATCAAAATCGAAAACTTTAACAGGTCGACTCACTAAATAATTTCAGAGTTTGATAAAACGTTATAATTAAATTTTAGGACTAATTTTTTGAAAGTTGGATAAATATTATTACCTGGGTTATTACTAGATGCATTTACGGGCTTAGGAAGTTGTTGAAAAGTTAAAAGTCGACTTGTATAAATGGCCTGCCTGTGCGTTTGATAATTAAGTTGTGCCGAGTTGGCTTGTTTATTTATTATTTCAGATTTATTAGTAAAATACCCTTCTAGAATATTCTCTAATTCACTAGCAGATGGTCTATTTTGAGGAACAGCATCTAGACATTTATTCATTAAATCTAAAAGTAGTTTCGGAACTTTGCATCTAATTTCAGGTCTATAACCTAGGCAAATAGATTTTGCTAGATTATAATCATGTGGAATATCATAAAAATTTATTCCAAAAGAATAAATATCTGATTGTTGTGTATATTCTTTTCCATATAACACTTCTGGTGCAACATAAGGAAGTACTCCATAAACTTCTTTAAAATCTTTAAAACTTGAATCTTGTGATACTGGTTTGCATAATCCAAAATCGGTAATATATGAACTAACCATATTTCCATTAACTATATTACCAGAATGTAAATCAAATTTTCATCGTGAATTTTATTAAGTCCATAAGCTATGTCAAACAAGTATTGTATTTTATTTTTCCAACTTAATTTATTATATTTACTATCTAATAATTTTCGGAAACTTCCTTGCTTTGCATACTGCATAACTATCATATAATTGTTATCTTTTGGATTCTTAGTAATTCCATAAATTGTAATTGATCCGCCGCCTAGAATCTGATATTGATTTTTAACCTAACAAATATTAAAGATAAGTAAAATAGTTTGTAAAATACATATTTAAATAAATAAATACTTGCTTCATTTAAAAATTCATTTGTTGAATGTGCTGAATTGTGAAAATTTTTTAAACAAACACATATTTGTGGCTTCCTTTTCCATTGGTTATTTTTACCATCCAAGCTTAGAATATATCCTCCTTTACCAAGGTATTTTATATTTGTAAATTTATCAAAAGGAATCCATTCAATAACATTTTCATAATATACACTTTTAAGTTGTGTTTCTTTAATAAAGTTATCAATATCAGGGTTGCCACTTGTCCAGTTATGAAATTCCTTTTGAAGTCTAAATATAAAAAAAAATACAATAACAAACTATTTTTAAAAATCATGCCACACCAATAGTTTATGATTTTCAAATAAATATAAGCATAAGTACCGTCTGGCATGAAGTAACATATAATTAATTAGAATTTTTTGATCATAACTTTAAATACTTACTCACTAACAATAATGAAATTTTAGTTTTTGAATTAAAATTGCTGAATTTAAAATATTTGTAATTTTAAATACTCACCGACTTATATACATATTGAATTATAATTTAAAGCTTTGTTATTTATTTTTTTAAAGTAACATAATTTCAAATATAACTATTAAATATTCACCCACTAATAACGTGTAATTTATAATTTAATTATTATTTTTAAATTAAAGAATTTCAAATTCTAAAATGGCTATAAATACTCACGAACTAATGATATATGAAAAATGTGATTTATAGTTTGTTGCTTATTTTCTGAATTAACAAGATTTCTAATTTAAAATAGTTATAACCCTAGGTACTTACTTACTAATAATATGTAAATCGTAATTTAGAATTACTTATTTTTTTTGAGTTAATAAATTTTGATATTAAATTAATTATGAAATACTCACTCACTATAATATGTAAACTATAATTAAACAATGTTTTAAAATTATGAGTTAAAAATAACACGACTTTAACTACTCACATTCTAATTATATATAGATTATAAATTAAATTTATTATTTTTATAATTAATAGGCCTTATAATTAAATACCCACCCACTGTTAATATGTAAAATTATAGTTAGAGCTATATTATTTGATTTTTTAAAAAATTATAAGTTTATAATTAAATACTCACTCACTGATAATATGTGAATTATTATTTAGAGTTATGTTATTTAAATTAGTTATATTTTTGCCAAATACCCACCAGTTAATAAATGTGAATTGTAATTCGAATTGTATAGTTTTAGATTTTTTAATAAATAAATTTTATAATTTTAGAAATGTTTAAACTCTAAATACTCACGATCTGTATAAGTAAATACGCAAATGATTATTTAAAACCACTTGATTTTTGAGTCGATGAAGTTTCTGGCTTTAAAAATAGCCATGACCCAAATACTCACATTCTAATTATATATGAATTATAACTTAGAATTATTCTTTTTAAAATTAACCAGATTTACACTTCAAAAATGGTTATAACTCACAGTCTAATTATTTATAAATTGTAATTTAGAATTTTATCGTTTATTTTTAAAATTTCTGATTTATTATAACTCAAATACTTACCCCCTAATAAGATATATGAATTATAATTTAGAGATTTGATTTTTCAGAACTAACAGTATTTCTAATTTTTAAATATAAATACTCACTTTCTAATTATATATGAATTGTAATTTAGAATAATTATTCTTAATTAAAGAGATTTCTGTTTTAAAAGTGATTATAATTCTAGGTACTCACTCTCTAATAATCATATGAATTATGAGTGTAATTATATTAATCGATTTTTTAAAATCTAATTTTAAAAATGGCTAAAACCCTAAATACCTACCCACTGATACATGCGAATTGTAATTTAGAGCTATTTGCTTCTAGAATTTCTGATTTGAAAAATAATTACACCTTGAATACTCACCGACTAAAATACATATGTAATTGTAATTTGATATTACTATTTGTTTTTTAAATTAACGGCTACTGATTTTATCTAAAAAAATAGTTGACTTTAAATACTCACGAGCTAGTATGCGTATGCGAATTGTAATTTAAAATTATTATTTGTTTTTAATTAATGAGATATCTGATTTAAATTATTTAAGAATGCAAATACTTACTTTCTAATAATTATTGTTAATTTCATTTTTTAAGTTATGTTATCTTTTCTTTGAATTAATAAAATTTCAGTTAAAAACGTTCATGACTCTTAAAACTTACAGACTAGTATCAAATGTAAAATATAATTTTATTGCTTTGAATTAGCGAGATTTCTGGTCTGAAGATCCTAGGTACTCACGATCTAGTATACATAATGAATTGTAATTTAGAATGTATTATTTATTTTTAAATCTATGATTCCAAATGCTTACTCGCTAATAATATGTGAATTTAGTTTAGAATTATTTTATTTGAGTTTAAATTAACCGAGTTTTGATTTAATGACATATAAAAATACCGATACTCACAAACTATAATATACATATTATCATTTAGTGGTGTATTACTTGATTAACGAGGTTCTAATATTAAAAATGATTACAATTCTAAATACTTACTTTCTAATTATAAGTGAATTGTAATTTAAGATTATATTATTTAACAAGTTAGTGATTTTAAAAACAGTTTTAGCCCAAATACTTACTCTCTGAAAATATGAATTGCATTTAGAGTTGTTATTCATTAATTAACGAAATTTCTTTAAAATGGCATAATCCGACACTCACATCCTAAATGTATGAATTGTAGAGTTATTTGTTAATTTATTCTGAACAAATGAAAATTCTTTTTTAAAA